AGGGTTTTGCCATTGAGTCTGAGTTCAGTCAGCCTTTCAAGCTTCCTTTTCCTGGTAAATGGTACAATAACTGTTTTATCAGCGTTTATTGATAATTCATTTTCTCTGCACCATCTTGTGATGGTATTGAGAGCTCCTTGTAACCTGGTGGAAATTGTGTTCAGGCAGGGACCTCTTACTACTACAACAAGGTCATCTGCATAGCCCTGTGTATCGTAGTCAAGATCTGCCATGATTACAAGTAGTAGGTCTACAGCTAGTGTCCATAATAGGGGTGAAAGCACTCCTCCTTGCGGACAGCCTCTTGTAGTGTGGAAGTTGTGCGAGTGTTCGTTTAACGTAACTTTCGCACACCGGTTGGAGAGCATATATTCCACCCATCTGGTGGTTGTGATATCAACACCTTTTGCATTTAATCCTTTCAGGATGGTTGCCGTAGGTGTGTTATCAAAAGCCCCCTCAATGTCCAAAAATGCACATAGAGCTGTCTGCTTATCCTCTAGGGACCTTTCTGCCTTGTCGACCAGAGCTACTAAGGCAGATTCTGTGGATTTACCCTTTTGGTAAGCATGTTGGTTGCAGGAAAGTGGTCTAGCCACAAGATACCTTGTTCTAATGTGCTGATCGATTACTTTTTCCATTGTTTTTAGTAGGAAAGAAGTAAGACTAATAGGTCTAAAGGAAGAAAGACAAACAAACACACTTTCACATTTATTATATTAGTATGGATAACAGATCATTAAAAAAAAAAAAAAAAAAAAAATGAACCATTATTTATGGTTAGTATCTTTTACTAAATAAAATTTAATAATGCCAACTTTTATAGAAGGTATTTTATGTCACCTGTGTTATGACTAAGTAAAAATATACTCAAAGACACTATATTTATATAATTACAGTGCACAAAACTCTCTTTTTTTCTTTTCTCCCTGATTTTTATTCATATACCCTATTATCCCTAAATTCTCTAATTTTATTCATATTTATTATCTTTTATTTAAAGAAAGGCTAATTAAAAAGTTTAATATAAATTAATAATAAAATTATTATACACTACGAGCGACTTATCCTTGCTTAGCTCAGATCAGGTCATCCTTAAATACCTAACAGTAACCTACTCCAAGTCAATATCTATCTATGTACTAAAAAAATTCGTCCAGCTTTTTAACTTAAAGAAGTAGAAAACATACGAAATGTATATAAATTACGAAAGGAATATAAAAATTATTGCCTAACAAACACAAAAAAAATCCTAAGCCGATACCAGATATCGAACCTAAGACTATTCATTAACAAGCTACCGCTCTATATCCACTGCGCAATACTAACAATATTACCACAAATTATTTAATAATCATGTTATTTCTGTGCATGTTTGAATTGTACAATAATTTAAATTATATATTATCTCGTTTTAAACAGGCGCGGTCGGAATTGTGGGTTTGACATTGAATTCAATGAATTATTTAGCCTAGATCTAATTAAATTCTGAGTTAGCCATTACGATACGATTACGACACGCCATTATGATTTATAATGCAAATATTTGCGATCTATAATTTATACTATCGATATCATATCGTTTGCTTGCGTAAGCAAAGATTTAGTTTTTAAATATAAGTTTTTTATTTTTTACGAGAGGGCGGGCATCCGAAAAGTCTTGAATAAAAAATAAAAATATAAAAGCAAGAAAATTCAAAATATATTTTTATTTTAAAGTAACGACTCACCCTAGTTATGTTTTAAATTTAAGTTTAGATTTTTCAGAGATGAGATATGTTCCCGCAGTAAAAACGATCACAGCTATCGTCATACCAAATTTCATCAAAATCTATCCAGTAGTTTTCTCGTGATGCGGTCACACTCAGACAGACAGAGAAAATTGTAATATATACGTAGGTAAAAGGCCTCCATGACTATTTCAATAAGATTTTCCAAAAAAAATATTTAATGTACAAATTCGACTCAGTTAGAATTTTATTATAATAATATGTATGTATACATATGCAATATTAACGCAAGAACGTCGTAATTCTAATCTACTGTGTCATTAGCTTTTCCACTTCTAATTGATATACCTATAATTAACACGTGCATTATCGAAAGTGGTTTAGCAAAAAAGCTAAATATTTAGTATCCTTAGACTTTGACCGGTTCTGAGTCCGGAAATTGTTTATTCAATGTCTCTATCGTTTAGACACGGACGGACATGCAAACTTGTTGGGAAAGTCGAGTCAATGTACTGAATACCGTTGGATGATTTTTATTATGTAATTTTGTTTGAACCATAACTTACACTACAGTGAGCAAAAGTGTTTATATGTTTGTTCCTCGTATCTCATAATACTGTTACTGGCTTTTAGAAATGTCGCTTTATAAGCAAAAGTATCTTATACGAGTAATTTTTTTTTACATAAATTCTTCTATTATAACTTGTTATATTTTTGTTGTATGATTAGGATTAAATTATACAATAATACTAGCAGCTCTTTTCTTTTAAATTACGTTTGAACGGTTAGTATGGAATAGACGGACTATATATTATATGACATATAGCCTATTATAGCCTTCCTCAATAAACGGGCTATCTAATGCAAAAATAACTTTTTAAATCGGATTAGTAGTTCCTAAGATTAGCACGTTCAAACAAACAAACTCTGCCTCTTAATAATATTAGTATAGATATAACACTCATAAAAATATTCGTTGTTAGATTCTAGCTGAAATTCTTAAATAAATAATTGTAATTTAATTCATAATTTCAAGAATAGATATTATAAAACACTTTCTGTTTCTAAGTAACTTACCCTCTTTTTCACGGGAGCGTCTTTAAATGCATTTTACGATTTTCATACAAACACATCGACTTTTATTGATATATAAGTACATAAAATATATGTATAAATATTTTTGCAAACAATCAGATATATTTTGGCAAATTTTATTACTGACAGTAGCCTACGTTTTACTCCCGGTCAAAATCTGTGTACCATACAAAAATGTCAAGCCGTTTCAGCGTGAAGGAGTAACAAACAAACGTACATGTACAAACTTTCGCATTTTTAATAGTAGTGTGATATTTCATCTATACAGATTAATAAAATTGAAGTGTCTGTTTGTAATGTCAAAATAACAGCTATTTACTGAATGCATATGAAATTAATACGGTACTTATTAGAAAAACAAATAGGTAGTTATTTTTAAATATTTTGTCTGTCTGGCTGTCTGTTTGTTCCGGCTAATCTCCGGAACGGCTGGACTGATTTCGACGGGACTTCCACTGACAGATAGCTTATGTTATAAGGAGTAACTTCGGCTACTTTTATATTAGAAAAATAATTAGAATCCCGTTAAAAAAATTAAAACGTATCTAGGGACGCACCCGAGTGAAGCGTGGGTTAGTCGCTAGTTTTAACTAAGGGCACACATTAAACACTTATATAACATAATTACATACTCAATTATACATGTAACGAATAATCTTAACGGTTAAACACGAACGTGAAAGTCTTTTAAACGTCCGAAATTTATTGCTAGTCTGACCTCCTTTAATGATTAAGTGAGAAATGCTCTAGTCTGTGTGATTATGATAAGGTCTAAAACTAAAAGTACCTATATAATGTAGCAATAACCGCGAATTTGTCGGTAATGAATCAAAGATAAACAAGGTGTTTTTATAATTCCTTATATAATCACCAAAATTTTATTTATATAAAGAAAAATGCAGTTAGTTGGTAAACGTATAACTCTAGAACAGCTGGAGGGTTTTAGTTGAATAATAAAGGCTATTTCTATCTATACTTAAAATAAGGACGAATAAAAAAATGTTAAAATGTTTTTGGCCAAAATTTGAAATTATGTATACTGAAAATATTTTAATTCCGAATTTAAATATCTTCTGTCTAACTTTAAATTTTTTCCAAAAACAGAAAATGATTTTTTTTTAATGTTTGTGCTTAACATTAAACAAACTCTTTTTAAGATACAGATTCGAATCAGTTATAGAATTTTATTATATTATAGATCAATTTTTGCTTATTATTATGGAACTATTTACGTATGAAATAATAAGACTGACTGCTTTATCACTATGTTATTTGAGAGGGTTTTAATGTTTTTTTTTTAATGATACGTTTTATTTCTACAAAAGGGGCTTAAACCAGACGTCATTCTTCCATAATTTTGCCTTTATTTTGAGATAGGTATAATTTTATGTAACCTAATAATTCAATTTGAAAAGCTTCAGTTATTTCAATTTTTTTTAATTTAACATATTTTGTTTAACATATAAACATTTACAAGAGTAAAATGAACATGACAAATGAATAAAGTTCTTCCAAAAACAATGTTAAATAATCGTTACGTATCTAATTATTGTTAATTAACATGTAGAGATAATTGTGTGAAACAAAGCATGGGTAACACCTTGGAGATTTATGTCATTGTATACATAATGATGCACTTCTTACAGGAATAATTAATGATCACAATCATTGCTAGTTATTGCTTGCGACTGTATTCGCGTAATATGATATTTTTTTTGCTCGTGTTACATACATAATATTTATGTACTCGTACTTTCTTAGATTTACGCGAATATTTTACATTTTAAATACAACTATCTTTTCGGTTTTTTTTATAAGAATTTAAATTTTAATATGTTATCTGCACCGTGTCTTCTCCATTCTACATGACATGAGCGAACCACCCGCGATTAATTTATAAGAAGTTAATTGTTTACCGAGCCACCTGTGGCTCGGCGGTCGCTAACAGGTTCTGTGCCCAACTAGCACACCTAAAAGCCAAATAACAAAGAATTGAATTGAAAAATTTAAATAAAATATTTAGGTACAATGATGCCAACATAAAGCAAACTTTTTAATGAACTATGTAGTTTTTATTTAGTCTATTTTTATTTAAACATAATCAATTTAAAAAAAATTGTAGAGGTATTTATTATGAATTAACAATAAATTTTTTTTATTTCCAGAACAGTCACGATGAATTACAAATATATACAATCAAATATAGTCCTTCTAATCACATTACATCTGACGTTATCAAGTGAAACAAATGCTCCTGTGTATGAAGTGATAAATGAACAAGCGAGGATAGACGACAATATACGACTATCTAACAACCCAGTTATATTGCCCTATGGGAATCCTTTAGCTGGTAATTCTAAACAAAATGCTAGACTCCACGCTAGCAACCAACAGGCAATGTTTAATGCTGAAAGGATTAGACAGCACAAAGCTCAATTGCAAAGATGGAACAAAAGTCCTATGGATAGCTACATGAAAGCATATCATGAATTACAGGAAAACCACCAATTGGAAATTGAGCAACAACAAGCAACATTAAAAGATAGTCCTGTAACTGCTACACCATCAACATCACCCAGACCCAGAACAAAGCAGAGAGTACAAAACAAACGAGTACCCAATAACGATGACAGTCAAAATGTGAGACAAGCTACAAAGAGAGTGCAAAATCAAAGAAAGGAACTCCCTAGACGCGTTTCTCAAAGAATTGACCCAGTGAAAGTTTCAAAAGGCGACGCTTTAAAAGATATAAGAAATAGAAATCATAGATCTTATGGTTCGGCTGATTATAATCAACAATTGGAACCAAAAAGGTATCAGACGGTATATGTGTATCCCGTAACCTCATTTGATCAAGGTATAGCTGTCAAACCTAATTCAGACATTGGTTCGACGCACCCGGTGATTCAACCTAGCAAGTTGTACACTAAAACACTATCTAGCGACACAAAACCCACATACCCAAAGCAGTTAGATCATAAATTCACATCCGTTCAAGAAATTGAGGCGCTCAACTCACTATTAGCTAAAAATCCTGAGCAACAATTGACGGAATTCACTGCGCTAATAAATTCCGATAGGAATGAAGAAATTAATAAGAATGTGCCTACAGATTTTTATTATTATTTAAAAAATCCAACTCAAATGCATAATACTGACAGCTCGAAATCTGTGTACGCTAGTGCTTACGTGCCAGTTATTAAAGATCATACACCCATAACGGAAGAGATCGATGACATAGAAGACCCAAATAACAAACAAACAAACAGTTTTTCAGAATCAACTGGGTCACCCAAAATAGAAACAGCAACAACAAAAAGCAATAATTATTACAAAGTCGAAGTCGCAAGTCAAACTATAACCAAAGATAATAATCCATATTTACTCTATGGCTTGCAAGAAAATAGTGACAAGAGTGAGAGATATCTACATCATAACGCCCAAACAACAGGTCTTCAGCATTTACTAGAGGATGGTACAGAAACATCAGCATATGAAGACAATGTAAGTACAAAAGTTCGTTGTAAGCGTTCTAAGTTAGAAACCGAGCCATTTCTTTCCCCAGAAAAAAAAGCAAATACCACAGACACTCCTACATCCGAATCCCTTATTAGGCTAAATCCGTTCAATAAGAAACGCGACAGCCTAGACGTTTACTTACCTAACTTTCAGATAGGTGAGGCGTCGTACGATTACGATTTCGATTATAATCAATCGAATCAAAAATTAAACTCGTATTATGACGATTATTATGATGACTACGATTTTGGTCCGAAATCACAGAACTTTGGTCCATCTAGTTACCAAAGTGAGGTACAAGGTAGTTTTTCAAATAGATTAAATCATTTCCGACGTGTGCCTTTATCTAGTATATATGGTACACCCCCTTCAACTTCGTATGGTGTCCCGTTTTACGGTTCCCCATCACATTTCGGCTCCCATCAAAGTTATTCTCCCCATAAATTTGAATCGACAGTAAGTTCCATAAGCTTTGATAATTTAGAACCAGTGTACATGTTAACTCAGTCCCAACTTAAAGAATTAATTGGTCACCATAATTTAAATATAGGACACCTAGATGTCTATCAATTGAGTAAAGAAAATAAAGAAAAAAAATACACACGTCCAAGAAAGTACAGGAAAAGGTATCCTTATAGGCATGTCCAAAAGAATTTGTTTAAACTTCATAAATTTAATTCTTAACATTTAATATATTAATTTATTCAATAAACAAATATTAAGTTATTTATAATATTTATATGTAAATTGTAAGTAAGAATCTTAGAAATAATAAAAGTTCTATTACAAACGCTTTGTCATTATTGTGTATTATTGTACTTACGGTAACAAGTTCGATTCTTATTTGAGGCAATATATCGATGTTTTTGCACTTAGGCCTTAAATAAATTGAAATATTATTTCACATTGCTAGTATGTTTCAAGCCTTAGTGTCATAAATCACGGATGTTTCGCAATTGAAAGTCACCAATGAATGTATTTTGATTGAGCTTTGTAAATTTAATAGATGCAATTAAAATATATATCATATGAATTTCGATACTTTTCATTACTTCTTTAGAAGTATTGCTAGCATAAAAATTATCAAATAAAATAGAAAGGTGGTTTTATATATTTTTACTATAAAGAGATAATTGAGAGAATTAAAAGAAAAAAAATGAATGATACAACTATATAATATTTTCCAAACAGACATACACTTTATTTTAAATTAATTCATTTATTATATATATTATATACATTTTATTACGAATAGGAAATAGAAAGTATAATTAATTACTAACATACATTAGATGAATGCCTTATACAATAAAAGTCTATGTAATAACGTAACATCTTCAAGCTTTATGCAGGAACTAGACAGGGAGGAAACTCTATTAACGATAGGCTATGTAACTTAGCGCTAAAATCAAATCTGACGAACTCATTTTTGTTCACGGATCCGCTCGTAAAGTAAACCGAATAAAAATAACCTGTGTCACTCGGGAATAAAACAGATATATTTTTTTTTATTTAGGGTGAGCCGCTAGCTCACCCTCGCTTCGCTCGGGTTCGCCTCTAGAAAAACATAATCAAATCTGTCCCTCGGGAACCGTATATTTTTCCGGGATAAAAAGTAGTCTATGTGTTATTCCAGACTACAATCAATCTCTGTGCCAAATTTCATCCAGATCCGCTCAGCCGTTCTGGCGTGATTCTTACAAACTTTCGCTTTAATCATATTAGTAGGATGTACCATAAAATATATGTTGTACAAAATAAATAAATAGAATATAGACGAAATGTGAGGAAATTAGTTAATAATTATTATACAAATTAGATATCTATGAAGTAGTCATCGCTACAGAATTTCAAGCTACAATCACCTAAATGCACACAAATAATACTTTTAATTATTTTTGCCCGCGATTCAACTCGTGTGGTAGTAAAATCTTTAAAAATAAACCTATAAATTTGTCTAGGATGTATTTTATTTTCAAATTTCACCCAAATCAGCTGAGCAATTACATCGTGGATATGTGACAAATATACTCCCTCGCTTTCACATTAATGTAATATTTTGTAGAATGTGTCAATTCTTCAATCTCCATCATAATCACAACAATGATGATATTAATTTAATTTTTTAATCTATACTGATTAACATTTCAAGACATGCTTCATGTGTATATAAAACCTTATCATTTATATGTTATTTCTTATAGGTCTAGAAATACAATATACTTAATACTAAAATTCATACAAATGTTTTTAATAAATAGCAACAAAAAATTACATAATAACACAAAAATACAAAGAACATGTAAAACAAAAACGATATCAATCGCTTTATCCAAACCAAATTGAAACAAACGTCTTTATCAGCACAAATATTGACAGGGTGAAAATTGAACCCGCGACCATCACAATGTAAGCAGATATCACATACCTTGATCTAAGACATAAGATACTAGAGAAGATATAAATCAATTGAAAATCGTGAACGGAATTACTTTCTAAATAACGCTTATAGAATCTTCAATTACAGAAAGTTGATTCGTATGAGATGAGTTACCTAATGTTATTATCTAACATATACTCTGAAGAATCATAATTACATATATAATTACTTAATATAAAATAGTAGTTTTGTCCGTCCGTCCGCTACCTGAAAGTTAAATATATACTTTAGATTATATGGTAACTATATCCGAGGTTTTGTATATACGTGTAGATAAAAACTGAGTGTTCGTATGTTTGTCCTTTATGTGTTCCTAAACCATTAATCCGATTGTGGTGAAACTCTTTTGGGATACTCTATATACGTCGGCGAAGGTTCCTGGCCCTAAAAAAATATTTTTTCTTTGGATGTTTGCCTTTTATGCGTTCCTAAACCATCAACTAACGGGACGTATCCGAGTGAAGCGAGAGCAAGTCGCTAGTAGACTATAAAATGTAAAATGAATTCTTCGAATCAAAAATAAAACAATAAAGATTTTTTTCATAAGCTTTATAATATTAGTATGGGACACAGATAACATTTCGTACTAGTCCATTTTTTTTAAACAGATTCAAAAGCTAATCAAATATTTTATTGCATAAAAATGTAAGAAATAGGTTAGTGCTTAATTTATTATTCATTACAAATGTAAATAGTGTCTATTTTATAATTAATATTAATTTGAGGATTTCAGAATAAAATTAAAAAAATGTTCATTTTTTACTTTATTTTCATACATATGTTTTATGTAGGATAGTTTTATGTTAATTAAACTTTAATCTATATTGTATTTGTGTAGGTATTATTATTATAAACAAATAATTTACTTTGAAGCTACTTCAAACGTAGAAACAGGCAAAAGAGCTTTCATTTTCGTGCTTTTAGAACACATTAAAACTTCATGCCATTTCGTTTGCGACCTAGAAAGTGGCCTATTGTTGATATGTGACTCTGTTACTCTAGTCACCGTTTAATTTTAGGTGTAGGAAGCAAATATTGATTTTGAACACTATCGAGACTCATACGTAATACATATATGCCTATCGATATAAATAATGATGAAATCCTGAATGTTTGTTAGTGCATCACTATAGAACGACTGGACCGAATTGACTATTTTCTTTAAATATTCGTAGTAAGTAGCCCAAGCAAGGTTTTAAGGATAAAAAATTAGGGAAAGCTTAGGAAATTTGGTAAAAAATTACTAATTCTATGGATTTTTTGTGTCTAATCAAAGATCACATTGATATTTGGACAGGACAATGTCTATCAGGATAGACATATAAACAATAATCCCGTACCCATATCAAATCAACGATATTTTGCAGAAAACAAAACTCACACTATGCTCCACTACAGCCATAAGCTATATAACCGATCTGAGACAATCTATTTAAAAAGTACTTTACGTAGTATAGGTACAAAACTTTTTTTTTATTTTTTTTTTAATAAACCTTCAAATTGATTCTTTATGCCTGGTATTTTTTATAATGTAATTAAAAAAATAGATAATTTATATAATTTTATTTTTTTCCAGCTCCATTACGCAGCAAACTATGAATTTGGATATCGAGTCCACGATCAAGATAGCGGTAATTATTACGGTCACAGAGAAGCAAAGACAGGAGAAAACACTAAAGGGCAGTACCACGTGTTGCTACCAGATGGCAGAATGCAACAGGTCAAATACTCAGCGGGACCTGAAGGGTTTCATGCTGATATAAGTTACGAATTACAATAAAAGAGAGTATTTACATATATGTGAGTGAAAATAAATATAGCCTAAGTACGGTTTTTCTTTAATTATCTTTACAGAAACATGAGTTTTGGTAAATTCTAATACAAATATTTGACATTATTGACATTTGATAGTACATAATAGATAAAATACGAACTATTAATTTTTCCTACTGTTATTTTTGACTTAGGCTAATTTGCATACATCCACAATACTCTCTTTTACAAACTAGATTTAGACTTGAGATAATTTAAGTATATTTTGCTCTCTAAATTATAAAAAAGCTCAGAGTCACTTTCACTAGATCACTTAAAAAAGGAGGCTCGTTAAAATGATTTAATTCGTCCTTCTTCTATCCTAAAGCAGGAACTTTTTCTTTCACGAGTCGGACACACTAAATGGGTTATTTTTGATGCACAAAATTATATTTTATAATGCAAATAAGGTACGTACAAAGAAAACACAAGTAATAGATTATTTATTTAAAAATAATATTTAAAGTAAAATATAGTTAGCTAGAAATAATTAAAGTTTTGCTATAATAATTAATTATAATAATACAAGTAACATAAAACATAATAGTAATAATATATAATTTGCTATGGGTATAACGTCACCTATAAAAAATCTTGATATTAGGTATTAACACCACTTGTGATATGACACATAAAAAGTATATAAGAAAATGTATATATAATATTATCACTTTATCGGCTTAATTTTGATGAAATTTTTGGGCTAATATAGCCTTGCACTGAATTTAATGCAAATCCGTCTAATACCAAATCACCGTGGTGCAACCGCGGTCACTTCGAAACACAAAATGGCGTGTCATGCCAATTGTAACAATATATACAGAAATTTCCCGCCCCAAAGAGAAATTATTAGAAAGCTACTTTAACGACTTGACACTTTTCGCGAACATTATGTAAATATTTGTGCAATTAAGATGTTTGTCACTCGTCATTATTGTAATCTTAAAATGTAAAACGACATCAAAATTACTTTTGAAGATTGATGAAGATTATTCCTCTATAAAGCTGTGTTTTATTTTTTATTTTTATTAGAACAACTTGGTGGTATATTCATATTCACTGGTATATTCACATCCGTATTCACTGGTAAAAAATATGAAAATCTATTTTCAATAATAGGCAAAGATCGCGTGTCGTTACCACCGAGGAATAGGTAGACCCTCCCTTCAAAATCAATTTTAAAAATATTATTCCGCTCTAAAGCTGGATTTTCCTTGAAATTTATTTGGAACCATAAACATACAAACAAATAAAAAAGAAAGATTTTTTAATACATATTACCTAATTCTGTGTGAAGTCTTAACAGACAAATAGAGAATAAAACGTGTAAGAAGTTACGAGTATACTTCTCTGGCGCAACAGAACAAAAATAGCTAAAGATTTCATCCCGTATGTCATAACTCTCGGTTTGTAAAAGGAATACAGCTAACTTCATCAAGTCGCTTTCAGCTAACTTTATCATGTCGCTTTTTGGCTGTCGGTGTGCGCGCGCATCGTAAAAGTTTTACTCTCATTATTTTTCCAAACGTGCCAAAAGAAGTATAACTTCAAAAAAAACGTTTATGGTATGTAATATGTATAAACAAGCCAAAAATTAATTATTATTATGAAAAATGTTAAAAAAATATATGTACAGACATGACGACTTTACAATTTTACTATGTTTAGACAGAGAACACTAATTAGAATGCAATAATGTAAACTACCATAGACTCTAAATTTCCTAGAATCTAGATTATTATAATGCTTTTAACATCTATATATATAAAAGAAAGTCGTGTTAGTTACTTCGCTTATAACTCAAGAACGGCTGAACCGATTTAGCTGAAAATTGGCAGGGAGGTAGTTTAGAGCCAGGAGAAGGACATAGGATACTTTTTATCCCGTTCGACCGCGTTCCAATTTTTATGATATTTTAATTTTTGGATTTCTCTTAGTCCGGAATTTAAATATAATAGAAAGCTATTTTTATCTGTTTTAGTATTATTTTACATATTTATTGGCCGGAGGTGAATATTAATTGCGATGGTTTATTTTTTACGTAATATAAAAAAAATACAAGTAATGTTTTTGGATCTACATACATATGTATATCTCACAAGGAGGCACATCTATACATACATATAATAAAATTGTAACGAAGACAAATCTGTACATTAAATATTTTTGGAAAATTTTAGTGAAATAAATATTATTATCGATACAGAGGCCGAATCTATAGTTTTTAGAATTTTTGTCTGTCTGTTAGTCTGTGATGTCTGTTACCGCATCACAGAAAAACCACTGGAGGGATTTTGATGAAATTTGGTATGGTGATAGCTGGTTATCCGGGCCAACATATCGGATACTTTTCACCGCGGGAAAATATCTCATTTCTGAGAAAAAATACAAAAACTGCATTGTAAGAGTATACTAATATGTTAAACCTAAGAATTTGGTTTTTGGTCATCTGAACGCAGGCGGAGCTGCGGGCAATGCTTGTTGTATAATAAATGAAAAAAAAGGTAGTTAAGAAAAATATTTCTTTTTTATTTAACTGTAATATATCAGACAACAATGGGGTTCCATAAGGAGGGTCTAGCTAGAACTGTCTATCTTGCGCTTGTAAGGATAAACATAAGAGTCTAAGATAGGAATACCTATCCATTTTTTATTGGGATGTCTGTATTCTGTACTACTATTGTCTATTGATTGATATTGATAGTTTTCAAAAGAGACATGAAACCACCAACCCGCACTTGGCCAGCGTGGTGGACTATGGCCTGATCCCTCTCTTATTGAAGGGAGGCTCACCCCCAGCAGTAGGACTTTAAAAAAGACTGCATACGGTATTGTGTATTGAGAGTGTTGTATAATCTGTCGTTCAATTGGAATTATTTTAATAAGAATAGATTGTCTATTAACTATCTTACTGCTATATTATAATATATATTAATACATTATACACTTCAACTAAGGTCGCGGGTTCGATTTCCATCGTCTGAGGCGAATTTTTGTATGTGTTTGTAATGTACATGGTGCTATCTACTAGGTATTACCTTATTATTAACCTATTAATTCGAGATAGAATTATGAAAATCGATTCACATTTGACGAAGATATCACGTAACGTAATCAAATCATCAGACATAAAATTCGTATGAGCCATGGCATTTATAATATAACTCTCAAGATGCGTTAAAGTAAATAAATAATATAGAAAGTACCCACATAATATAATTAAATTATATAGAGACGAAGAAGCTTACCCATTTTCTATTTTTCTTTTTGATTTCGCTGTGTATTACGGTAATAACTTATTTTCTTCTGTTAACACATTTTGTTTGACCATATCGCTTTTACTTCAGCAGATAATATAACAAATATATATGTACGATGTTTTTAGAAAATAAAATCCTTCATCCACTATTTGGTATAATTTTTTAACATAAGCGACTCTTTACTAGTCGAAGATATAAAATAAAAATGTTATTTTTTAATTATCGCTATTTACATTTAGATAAAATTTGCTATATTTGATAGATCTGATGTAACCAATTAAAATTATAATGCTCTAAAATATGTTAATTTTAATTACTTATGAAATAAAATTGGTCCGTTAACCAAGTATGTCTATCATGCTGATAGTGATGTAAGTTTATAATATATATCATTTTGAAGTGAAACTTCTTTAGAATCGTTAAGATTTAAAACTCGATGAAACGGAAATGAACTAAAAAGAGACAAACACAAATATATAGAATTTAAGCCGTTGAAAGAATGAGATAGAATACATTGCCATGTTGCCATGGTAACCGTTATTATTTGAGATAGAATAATACATTACACAGGAAGTGAAAATAATACAATTAATGACGGAATAATATGTAATATGTCAAATTAAATAACTTTTAAACTTCATAAAAATATTATAAAAAATATAAAACTTACAATTATCCTACTCCTGATACTCTATATTCATCTCATTCTCTCGTAGGTTACTTTTCTGAGGTTTCACTTCTACGAGTGTGAATTGCGCACACACGCACTTTTTTACATTTAAAATGCAATTTTTTGTAGCTCATGTTAAATCCTTTCGATATAGAGTCTCCACTCACTATATCATATATACGAACATAGAGTATTCTTTTTAATTATATAGATACTATATATGTATATTTTATTTCTGGGATTGTGCAATATTATTGGCTGTACCTATAGTACATGTTTCTATCCAAATTTGAGATCTCGTGCAATATTTGTACCTACATAAAATTATTTACCATTTATTTTTTTTAAATTACTATTAAATTACTGGAATATTGTATCTCTTTTTAGTTACCTGCTTATCTTTAAATTTTTAACATAGATGAAATTATACTTTATTCAATTGTTTAAAATCACTTTTGAATATTTAAAGAATGTCAGTGTAGTAAGTCCGTCAGGAAGCTACCACTGGCTCGGATGGCAGTTCTGCTGAGAAGAACCGGCGAGAAACTCAACAGTTGTTATAAATATCAAATTGTATTTTACTTATTTTCAATTTATTTATTTTATTTTCATAATATCTTTTGCTTTATAAAACGGTGCTTTAAAAACATTTCTTAATCATTTAAGTATATAAAACTTATTTCCTAAGTATATATATATATATATCTATATAGGTGATTATAGTACACGTAAGTCTAAATCTCTGTATAATCTGTGTTATTGTTACTTATTTGCACTTAAAAGGTAGGTAGGTATAACATAAATGTGGTCAAAGCAGTCAAGGTAAATAATACAATGTAAAATACTCATATTTAAGTAACATAAGTAATAAGTACGTACTTATAAATAAAATGATTAATAAATGAATGGTTTTTTATACTACCTATAAAATATTTTTAGACGACACGTTTGGGTCAGTTTGTAGTGCCTATTTGTTGTGCCAGCGGTCGCGGGTTCCAGTCCCGCAGAGGGCATTCATTTGTGTGATGAACATGAGTGCTTGTACTATAGAAATGGATATTTATATTTATAATATGTATGTATTTAAAGTTATATATGTGTAGTGTATCAACTATCTGGTATTCATAACACAAGCCTCGTAGCTTACCATGGAACTAAATGATGCTGTATGTTATTGTCAAAACATTTATATTATAGGTAATATATTTATTTATTTACTAGCATTGCCCGCGGTTCGGCAATCGGTTTTTGGTCATCTGAACGCGGGCGGAGCCACGGGCAACGTTAGACATAATATATAATTTACACTATGATGTCAGGTTAGATCTGAGTGGCCGTGGTAAGACACAAGGTGGTGCGAGGCCGCTACAGACCACCGTGACTGTGTATTCAGCCCTTTTTATCGTCCCACTGCTGGGCACGGGCCTCTCTTCAGTACGAGGGGAATCAGGCCATAGTCCACCACGCTGGCCAAGTGCGGGTTGGCGGACTTCACATGTCTTTAGAAAACTTGCTAAGTTCTCTCAGACATGCAGGTTTCCTCACGATGTTTTCCTTCACCGTGACTGTAGTGGCCTTAAACTAAGTGACAGTAACAATACCATAAAGAGGCTATAATGCGCAATAGCAAATACCGTTTATATAATAAGAGAGAGTTGTGAATACCATAAAAGGGTAATTGTTAAACATTAAATATTATCTTACTTTTAATTATGTAAGATGTACTGCGTTACATATTTTATTGCTCTAGTAGAGAAATCTAGGCTAACTAAAATTTTATAAAATTGATAGCCAAATTATATGCAAAAGTTCGCGAGATATCTATGAAAAGATAATCTATACTGTAATATAAAGAGACCTTATACTTTTCAAAATAAATGTATAATCTATTAAAATGCAGTTAATTAAATTCTGCAAAGACGAAATAAACATTATTACCTGCTGGACAGTGGTACCGCTGTGCGACTTTTACACGTTTCACAAAAAAATAGTTAGGCAATAGCTACCAGTTCTTTAATTTAATTAATTCATAACACGAAGATAAATAATCATTATGCCTATAACCTAATTTAATTTTTACTAAATAAGTGGATATTAATGTATTCGACCTTGACTATTTAAAAAAAATGAGATGTGGAATACAAATAAAAAATAAAATGAAGTATCTTTTTAGCGTTACAGAGTATAATAATATTTCTTTAATTAAGACATAGATCGATAAAAGTACTTTGGACCCATTCATGGGATGATGTAAGTTATTACTCAAGTCAACATTTAGGATACCTTTTGTATTCAGCCCTTTTTAACGTTCCACTGCTGGGGGTGGGCCTCCCTTCAATACGAGGGGAATCAGGCCATAGTCCACCACGCTGGCCAAGTGTGAGTGGATGAACAGGATACCTTTTACTATAGGAAAAAATTTCATTCCCACGGGAAAACACAATAACTGGTTCTATCGAGTCGTCCATAGAAATTGACATGGCTAATGCTGGCTAAACCTTAAGAGATATATCAAAACAATGTACTAGAAAATTGTAGGTCTTAAAAAGGCATGCAGAAAAATCTGCAATAGCATAAATCTTTCTGCTAAGGTATATTTGCAATAGTACTTAGGGATGCACCCGAACGAATCAAGGGTAAGTCGCTAGTATTAAATAAAACTATCTTTTCGGGAGAAACAGTCTATAACCATGATTGCTGTAAAACATTCGAAAAATCGGAAACCAAAAATTTAAACAAAATCGGGAAAAAATCTGAAAAGATAAGTTTTATTTAAAATAAAATATTAAAATAAAACATATTCTCTTATTAATCATCTATATCATTTTACTGAGAAATAAATGTACAGTTACATATCAAAGTCTACTAGATAATATATATCTAAGTTATTTATTAAAAGTAAAACTATAAACGTTCATTTTTGTTTAACGCAATAAATTACTAAGAAAAAAAATCGTTTTTATTTTCATACATCATGCATATATAGTAAAATATACAACTACAAAATATAGAGTAGGCGGAAACATTAAAATAAAATTTTTAATAATAGTAGACAAGTCTACAAAATTTTTATTTTTTTAAACAATCTAATTAATACCAATCTGAGAAAACATACAAAAGTGCCGCCAAAATTGTCTTTTAGGAGATATATGTATATAAAAAATATCAAGAATTTAAATCCATAAATTATCCCTCTCCGTACTAACAAAACCACATAATCCCACGTCAGTCGACGGGCGATTAAAGTATCCGAATCGTTATGATATTTTAATTTATTTTATACTAAATTTTAGCTATTAAAAAAAAGTAAAAAAAAATAACGCTTATTCCCTATTAAAATGGCATACGTTACCATGGTAACACATAAGCAAACGAATTTTAAATCACCATAAGTACAAAATATAAATAGAATAAAACTTCTCACTTATCATGTAAAATACATTTATTAGTTGCGGTATGATTATACAATAATCACACAAATTATTTGAAACTAACTATATGTGGCATTTTAATAACAAAAGGGAAGTGTAAGACGTACCTACTATATTTAGAATTAAAATGGCGTGCGTTACCATGGTAACCATAAACGAACGTATTATTTAACCACAAGAGGGCTCACCTTGGGATATAAATCTTTGAAAAAGGTATTTTTAATACGTTAAATAATATATAAAAATATACACTAAGTCATTATATCCAGCACATACGTCTATCCATCCACACGATATACATTTAACTCGTTTTTTCACATACAAACTGTAATTCACATTTGGCTAGGCTTTTGCCTTTTAAGTCTAATAGTTTAGCCAACAAGTACTTTAGTCAAAAGATGTATGGATTAATCTATTTTTTGAACCCAGACTAAAGAACAAAATAGATATAGCGTCATAAAACTAAATATGACGCCAAAAATTATGTTTTAAAATAGTATACAAATGACAATTCGTATATTAAGTAATAAGTAATTATTTACTGTAATAAGCTAATATTATGCCATATTTCTTTCAAGGTGAAGATAACTAATGCTTAAAAATGCAAAAGAATGTGGTATAAATAATTATTATTATTCATGTTTATTCACCAAAAATTGTATATTAAACTAACATATATAAAATTACCCAATAAACGATCTGTTAGGTAAAATCGAGAATATAGCATAAACAGCAAATCACGCTACTATATTTGACTTTGACATTTATTTTGCCGGACTATATAATTCTTTAGTCCAAGTATCTGAAATAGAAAATAAAATACAATAAAAATATTTATAGTTTATACCTTTCTAGTAATTGCAAAAAATCTGTAATTTTAGACATTTATAATATTGCCTTATATTAAAATATTATTTAAAAATTAGTTTTACAATTTTAAACATAAGATATTGAATTAAATAAAAATCGGTTTTTAAGAACAATATGAATATGGAAATTCTAAGAGATATATTTTAAACCAAAACAAAACATTTAAATGTATACTCGTGCATATAAAGAATAGGATTAGTAATATATATATATATATATATATATATATATATATATATATATATATAATTAAATAATCTTGAGCAATTTACTGGCAGGTAAAGAATGCGTAAGTTTTCGAGCAAAAAAAAAATTTTATTTACGACGCCATTTATAATCCCATTCTTTATGTGCACGAATAATAGACTAGATTATTAGTGTTTTAATTTAAAATGGATTTTATACAACAACTACATATTAAATTGTTACAATTTATATTAAAATATATTATTATATAAAAAAATGGAGTCAGTGCAAAAACGACCTAAGTCAAATTTGATAAAGTGACACATTTTGGACCAAAAGAAATTAATAATTTACTAAATTTTTACTATGACATATATAAATAAAAAAATAATTTATTTACAAAAAAATAGCATTTTTTGTCGAATTTACTTCTACACTAACTTAATTCAATTTAGGTCGTTTTCTTATTGACATAAATTCAGTTCAATTCAATTATCCTGTTAATGGCTTCTAAGTGTGCTTAAGCACAGATTACTTCGCCAAGAGCTGACATAAATTATATTAAAAAAAATATTTAAAAAAAAACATATAATAACAAAAAGATGACAATATAATAATTCTTATACTAACCTAATCGTCACATTGAGTTTTTCAATACAGAGTATATAATAAGAAAAATTAAAACAAATTTTATAATTTTCCAAAAATTTATTTATTTAATCTTTCTTTAATTTCTTTGATGGTATTTCATCATCTTCCAACGGACGTTTGAGGGTTTTAGAAAGATTATTTAAACTCCTCAACTCGTTTGTAATTCCGCGTATTTTGGCCAAAGTTGTGATAGTTTTCATTATAGTACTTGACGTGGGTGCGGGGTTCGAATCCGGGTCATCATCTGATGCACTGGGTAGTTTAATTAGCGATTTCCTTGGCTTAATATTGGGCAAAGCTGTGAAATAAAAACCACATATTATTTACTAACTTACATATATTGCTTACAACCCCTCTTGTATCCCTCTCATCTTTTTTTATACATATATCCAAGACCCAACAAATATATATGACCTACCATTTGTATGGAAGCGCAAAGAAAATAAAGCTCCAAATATCTTTACAATATTATTAGGGTTAAAATAAATAATTCTTATTTTGTTAATTCAAACTGTTATATGAATAACAAAAACAAAAACAAATAAACAAAAACCTCAAAAATCCGCATACAGCCTTAAATGAGTAAAAAAACTATTCACATAGTTTTATTGCGTTTAAATCTTATCCCAAATGGTCCAAATAAATACAATTTTCATTATAAGATTGCATACATTGACTAATACTTGATTGATTATCTTGACCGGCACTGTCCGCTACACCGGAGGTCTCAGGTTCGATTTCTGTATAAAAAAAATGTTTTAGTAAATACATAAACTAATATATATGCAAAAGCAAATGATACTGATGATGATGATATACATATATGTATATTATAACTAGCGACTAACGCTCTCTTCGCTCGGGTGCGTCCATATCTAGGCATATTTTAAGTTATTTGAGTGTAACCCTAATTCTTTTTCTAAAATAAAACTAGCCTAAGTTACACTTTATAACACCAGCTATCTGCTACTGAAAGTTCCGTCAAAATCAGTCCATCCGTTTCGGATATTAGCCGGAACAAACAGACAGACTTTTTTTAAAAATTTTCTTATAAGTACTGTACAATGTACATAATTCCATATGCATTTAATAAATAGCTTTTATTTCGACGTTACATACAGACACTTCAATTTTATTTATCTATTTAGATGTATAGATAATTTTTGTGTATAATATATTTAGTGTAATGAAATTGTATTAGACTGGTATATGGTAGTATACTCGTACATGCGAACGTCTATATTTGATACGCCTTAACACTGAAACGGCTGAACAGATTTGTATGAAAATTAGTACAAAGATAGGCTACGACCTAGAGTAACACATAGGCTACTGTTAGTAATAAAATTTACCGAAAGGTGGCGCTATCTGCATATAATATTATATGCAGATATTCAAACAAAATGCACCTAGCATAGCAAAAAGCCGAGCAAAGTGAGGGTAAGTCATTAGTATAATTACAAACAAACAAACACACAACACTTACCTTTATTTTGATTCCTCTTATTAGTGCCGATGGGAAGAACTGATAGATCCAATTTAATCTGACTTCCAAAATGTCTCAACGGTTGTGAACCAGAGGGTCCTTCATTTGGCACACCTGGAATGGGCAAGGAGTTTAACATATTATTTATTGACAGATGGGTGACCATTTTGTAATATATTCAATTCTTTATAAGATTCCACTACTGGGGGTGGGCCTCCTCAATATTCAGAAGATCAGGCCATAGTCCACCACACTGGCCAAGTGCAGGCAGACTGAACATGTTTTTCGAAAACTTGCTATGTTTTCTCAGAGATGCAGGTTTCCTCACGATGTTTTCCTTCACCGTAAGGCAAGTGGTAATCAAGTTAAAAATAATTCGCACATGAAAATATCAGAATTGTGAGACCCGGGATTTGAACCCGCTTCACTCGGTTTCCCCAAGTGAGCCATTACCACTGGACTACAACTACCTTAATATGTATAAATGTTTAACAATTGAATGATCTATAAATTTTAGTGTAATGCAATAAATATTCTTACCAGTTATAGCTTTACCTCCTACTGCTTGGTTAGTGTGAGTTAGTTCTGTATATTTTATATCACACTCCTCTATGCGTTTCTTGAGATCGGCTGGAAATTAAAACTATAATATTATATTATTAATTATTATAAGCATAAAAGAAAAATTCTAAAAACTTTATTACACGAATGTAACAATTAATTATTTATTATTGAGCGCTTGTATTAATTTCTGGTTTATATATACAATAATTCTACAAGAAGCTATCTCAGTGATGCACCGAATCGTATTTCACGTATCTCGACAAAAGAAGAAATTAATAAAATTCTCTTGTTCATGGCGACAACGCGTGTCAGTTGAGCACAAATTACCTCGCCAATGTCACGTTCAATGGAGATATGATATGAACATATAAACGTATACCATACTAGCAACTCACCCTTGCTCCCGAGCGAAGCAAGGGTTCGTCCCTTGGTTGATTCCCCATACAAAATTTAATCCTCATTTTCACCCCCTTAAGGACTGATTTCCGGGATAAAAAGTATTCTATGTCCTTTCTAGGGTCTCAAACTATCTTCTTACCAAATTTCATCTAAATCAGTTCAGTGGATCCAAAGATTACCCTCTACAACCTCAAAAAATCACAAAATTTTACCTCTATAATATAAGTATAGATGAATATTCTAAGAATTATGATATATAGTTTTTAAATAATATTCTAAAAAAACACACTCACCGATACAATTGTCCTGTTGCTTTTGTTTCTTCTGCAAATCTCTTATATGCTTCTGTTGAGCCCATGCGACCCTCTTATATTCTAACATCTGGAATTTGTTACATCAAAACGAATAGTTTGCTCGGGTTAAGGTTTAAAAGTAATTATTATTTAAAAAATAGTGCAATGTACAAACATGACTACTTATTAGGGAAATACTTCAAATAAATGTCAATAGATGGCGTTACATTTCGATACATGTAACGCCATCTATTGAAAAAGCTTTACACATAAACAGGCATAACAAATCGATATTTATTATGCATGTTTATGTGTAAAGCTTAAGCCAATAATCTAATAATGTATATAAAATTAAAAAAATTAAAAACAATTATTATAGAATTAAAAATAAATAATGAAAATATCTATAACTATACAATTTTGCAATTGTTTGATAAGTTTGTACTGCGTAATAATAGATGGCGCTATTTGAATTTTTAGAATTAATATTTATATATTGTAATAGTATTAAAATTTATAATATATGGTAATAGTATTAAAGCTAATACTTTGTAATTATAATAATAAAGACTTAGTGATTTGTCATTATCAATATAGTTTTACTCAAATAAATACATATATTTTTATACTGTTAAATCCCTTATAACTCAAAAACCATGTACAAAATTAAAACAACCTCACCCGTTTATGAAATCTCTTGTACTGCGATGCCAAATAAAGAGACAGCTTAGCATTTAATACGGAGCGTCTTCTCAACTGTAGTATCTCTTGTCGTAATGCTATTGGGGCTAAAACCGCTAAAAAAATAAAAACAAAAATACATAGGCCAGAAAAAAATAACAAAATTAATGTTGTCGCTTCAACATATCGGGAAACAGACATTTATCAGAGTCCAATTAAGTAGATCTGGTATTTATTTTAAATTTAAAACAAATTAAGCTTTTTAAAACAATTTTTTGTGATTTTATTTTTAGATGCTCAATGTGTCAAATACTTAACAGCAAAAATCAATCAAGTACAGTTGGCAATGTATACAAAAGAAATGGCACCAAAAAAAAAATACTTTTAGTACCTAAAAATAAAAATGTATGTCTTATGGTGTAGATAATAGTAACTGGAATTAATATTTTATATAATTATGAAGTATAGCATTCCTAAAGAGAACCATTTATTTAAATATAACATTTATATTGCAAAAATATAAACAAATATAAAAATAATAATAAAAAATAATTTACAATTTTAAAACTATATAAATACTTTAGTTGACATTGAATGTATGGAAACTTCAACTTGAAAAATAAATTCAGGTTCAGAGCAAACTTACTTTTTCTACAAATGTTTATTTATCACTAAGTATTATTTTAAAAGAAATTTCTTATCTATTTTTTTTATTAAGGTATTCCTGTAGTATTTATATTATGGAACCCTAAATAATATATTATTAAAAAAATCACTATTTTCATATCAAATGTAAACCTAAACTCATAAAACTTATATAAATTTCCATACCTTGTGGTGGTCTAGGAGTAGGTGGCGGTACACCCTCTTGCAATTTCTTTCTAAAAGCCGGCGATATTTTGTCATCAAAGTGCTCTATCGCCATACTGGAAATATCCCGTAACTCTTGCAACACTTCATGGGCTCTTGGGGGAGTTTTAGAAGTTTCTACTATACGCAAGACGCGTATTATCTCATCTATTACCTAGAATTTCATTATTTTCATAATTTAATTTATATTATCAGTGTGCCTCGGTGGTCTAGTGGCTAGCACATACAGAATGTATCGAACTTTGAAAGTAAGAGGAATAGAGAGTACACTTGCGTCTGCGTGGACACGCGCTGCTCTATATCTCCTGCAGTTGGCTAGTCTCACAATCAGAGAAATTGGCCGACGTGGCCGAAATCGGTCAGGAGGACTTAGTTAATAATCTTATTACACATTAGTGGTTGAGCATGTCTCTGATTTGCAAATAAAAAATCATTCAACAACAAACACATTGTGTTTGTAATTAGATGATTTTATTTATATTTAGCACAACTTACCCTCCCTGGTATAAAACAACATATACTATTGTCGATGTACTTAGAGTACGTCATATTGAGCATGGATATGCGGGTCTCTATTGACGTCAGGATGTCACAGTGCCGAGCCAATGGGTGATGTCTGTAAATAATAATTTCACTAATTAAGTCACAAACAAGTCTGCCTCTTTATAATATTATTATAGATAATCACATAACTCTTATTTTAATTATTCAATTCAATTATTTATTTTCATAACTTCTTAGACTGCCATTTGGGCACGACTTATTCTCCAATGTCACATATTTCAATTATTATATAGACAAACAGTATGATGTTACCTTCTTTCTGACTCTCGTCTTGGTAATTGTGCTTTAACACTTTTTAGAGCTAATGTATGTCTTCTTTCTATCATTAAAAACCCTCTGTTTAACATACGCATTGATATTTCATTAAAAGCTTTTGATACCTGGAAAACAGTGAGAAAGTAACTAATTATTTATGATTCTAAAAGAAAATAATCTAAAAGTTAATTCGTATAATTTTATAACATTAGCAAATAAATAAGTACTTATAGATTAAAAAGTGACTCATTTCTTCAGATTTCTTTGTTCCAGAAATTATCTCATATCCCGGAAATTCAGAATTTAATAATAGGTTCAATCTAATGGTTTTTTTTTTAAATATTTCTTATTCTTTGTTATCAAACAAGAGAGAAACGTTACGGCATGTATTGGACAGGTTCTCGAAGGTGATCGGAGGTGTTAATTATAGAACTGTTTATACGACGACAAAGTATAAAACATAATTTCAGTCAAAAAATCATACTTATAAATAAAATTTACTTACCAATCTGTTCTTAGCGATTTCATCGTAAGATAAATAGGACAATATATTTTCTAGCACAAGCACAGGTAGGCTAAGTAAAGTCATTTTCTGTGTAAATCTTTACACGGACGCAGTAAAATTTGTTTTTATCACATGAATAAACTAACTAGAAGTAAATTCTATTCTACACTATACACTAAATTTACTCGTAAAATCACAAAACTCAAAGTTAAGAGATTTTCGCGATGTTTCTTTTCGATGAGCAGAAAATCGACAATCGACACTAAGAACAAAATAGTTTGGTCTTTCTCAAACTATCACATTTACAAAGAAGTGTGAAAGAGAAGTTACCAGAAGCTTATAATAATTGGGTGTGTTTTAAATAAAAATGGGCATTTTGACAGTTTACATCATAGACAGACAAAGGTTAGTGTTGCCATTTTCAAAGGACTATTTTCACATATAACAGTGCTACCATGAATAATTATTTAAAGAATCAGTTTTTAAATAAATACATTTCAAAATGAGTTGAGTGCAATGATTATATAGATGTTTATATTACTTTAGATACTTTCTTTAGATGATACCTCACCTCAATATAGTGGTTATATTTTGCATGTTTTTAGAGGTTCCGAGGCTTAAATTTTTACCCAAAGTCTGTTCTACGAAAGTCACGATAACAGTAGGTATAGCTCAAAATATCCATATAATATAAAATAATAAGAATTATACTAACCACTGCTCTGCTTATATAATATCAATAGTAATTTAAACTGCTCTCGTAAGTTTCCCTAACAGCCACTAAAGACCGCTAGCAATTTGCCGTAATGTGACTCTGGAATGTTGAGAGAGAAAAATAATAGTAAATGAGTCAAGGACAATATTTAAATTATTCATACGATTATATTATTATTACTATAAACTAACAATAAGTACCTAAACAAAAAAGATTGTTCTATTTTTATTGTTCTTTTTAGGGTTCCGTACCTCAAAAGGTAAAAAAGGAACCCTTATAAAATCACTTTTTCGTCCGTCTGTCTTTTCGTGTGTCACCACCGTTTTTCTCAGGAACGATTACGGGAGGACCTAGCAAGTTGAAATTTATACCAAATACTGAGGTCTATAGCCCCTATTACGTGTATAAAAATCAAGGTTCTGATCAACACGATAAAAAGATATGGGCAAATTTAGATTTACGCGAAAACTTGTAAGTACCAAAATTTACAATAATTTTTAACTTTTGTTTTATTTTTCGGTATTTTCCTTTTACTTGTGCCGTCAGATCCTATAGGTTTTGGGTCGAAAACCTATATGGTAGTTCCCGTTGACCGTTGAACATAAATAAAAGAAAAATTCTAAAAAATAAAAATAGTTTACAATTAAACAGATTTCCTACAAATTTGTACGGAACCCTCGGTGGGCGAGTCCGACTCACACTTGTCCGTAATTTTATCTTACCAATAGTGTGTATTATGAATTCACGTTTTGAAATTGAATTGAATAATAAATAAACTACTTTACTTGTTCTATCAATATTTCTTACGAAATTAAAAGTATTTGTAATGTGAGTAGAATCGAATTTATAATCAGTTCATATCCCGTGTTTAAAATTTAAATTTCCATTTTAGTACTTTAATTATTATTAGTATTACATCATAGTATATATAATATAGTATTGCATCATAATCAATTTAGAGAAAAATCATATTAACAAGTTAAGACATATTTCAACTTACAAAACACGGGGCTTGAACCCATGACTTTTCGTTTGGTTTATCTATTCTATTGTAAAGACCTCTGGGCTAAAATTATAAGAGCTTATTCCTGGATTATGTAATATTATAGATGTATATAATATTATGGATTATGATGGTGAAGGAGAGGCACAGTTTACTAAGAAATCAATAAACCATAAAAATTTTGATACCTCAATACTAAAATTAAAAAAAAAATCAACAAAAAAATTTCAATTATTTAATAAATCAAGAATATAAAGACGTAACACCAAATACTTAAATTTTAAAAAACATTAACATTTAACTGAATGTTGGGAGATCACAATGTTTCTTCTTAACGTGGAAACGTAACGACGTGTTGTACTTTGTAGCGAAAGGGCACACCTCACATTTGAACCTTTTTTCTGAAGAGTGCTTATATTTGTGCTGAACTAAATTAGCTGGTAAAATTGTCGCATAATCGCACTGGTCACAGGAGTACCTCTTCTTCCCAGTGACATGGGCCTCTTCATGGTATTTCAATATATATTTATTCATCGTTTGGAATGGACATTGCGTGCACTGGAGTTTCACGCCTTGATCCCGATGTTTCCTTTTATGTTTTTCCATAGCACCTTCATAATAAGTTTTGTATTTACAACCAGGGAAATCACAGTTGAGAGTAACGGCGTTTTTGTGTCGCAACATATGTTGAGTCATACTCGCACGGTTGGACGTTTCGAATTCGCAATATTTGCACCGAACTGACGTATTTGTGTGCAAACTCTTAAAGTGTTTCTCTAATTCATTCCCAGGAACCATTTCCCCGCAAACTTGACATTGTGTTTGGGAAACCATTTGATGGTTTTGTTCGAAATGCAACTTTAGTTGTTCCCAACTCGCATAGTTCTCTGGACATTTTGAGCATTGGAACGTGTCTGGTATATCAACCTCTTCCTTCTTTATTTCTATCAATGATACAGGTCCCATTTCGCCATCGTGCATTTTTCCATGGGCTATATTGATGTGGCGACATAGTTCGAATTCATCTGGAAACTTCTCTGGACATTGGTCACATTGTTGCTCGTTTAATTTTTGATTATTTGACGGATGTTTGAGAAGAACATGTCGTCTGTAACTCTCCTTGGCTTTAAAAACTTTCTTACAAAACGCACACGTGTACGACACTTTTAGGTGAACTTTTAAGTAATGGGGTTTCAACTGTCGCTTATCGTGGAAAGTTTCATTGCAAAGAGTGCACATAATCGTTTTGGGTGATTGTATTTTGTGCGTACATCGCAAATGTTTGCACAGACCGCCTTGTGAAGCGAATATTAGGCCGCAGATATGACATTCTTGTATCATTCTTTTGTGTGTATGACTGAGATACATCTCTCTCGTTTCGAATTGCTTATCGCAAACGTCACAATATGACGCCTTGTCATGTTTCCGCCGAATATGCCGTTTTAAGCTCTCAATCTTATCGTAGGATAGATTGCAAATCCTGCATTTCAATCGAAAATCTTCTTTTAACGCGTTGTGCTTCCTTCTCATATGTAACTTTAAATAATTGAGCGATGAAAAGACTAATGGACATTCTTTACATGTTATTTCGCCAGTGGCTTCATTTTTGAAATTTTCGAGTAAACTATGCTGCTCTTCTTGTTTCTGATCATCATCGTCATCGACTCTATGCTTCCTTTGAACGTGTCGTGCGTAAGTTTCGCGTTTCGTAAACACTTTTGGGCAAAACGGACAATTGTACCACTGATCCAAATCTGGTTTTTTTTCATTAGAATGTTTTCTTTGTACGTGGACGATTAAACTTCGGTATTTGTCATACGTTAACCCGCATTCCTGACATATGTGCTTGAACGACTCTTCGAAGGAGCCGTGTTTTCTTCTCATATGCATACGTAATCTAGTCATTCCTTTAAAAACCAATGCACACACATCACAAGTTCTTTCTTCTCCATCATCATTCGCTGAATCCGGCCCATGCTTCCTTTTAATATGAGCAACCAAACTGTTCTTCTGCTCGTACGACATTGCACAATAATGGCAAATATATTTGAATGCTTTTCTGAATATTTTGTGTTTTCTTTTTTGATGCATCCTTAAAGTTTTTGTGGATTGAAAGACTAGATGGCAAACTTTGCACACATAGTTAGGTGCCGGTGCAATAGGACCAAAGCCTAGAACACTTTTATCAGTGATAATGCTTTCGAATGTAAGCAAGACCGCTTCATGATTTTGTTCTTCGATTTTAACTGCTGGTTCTTGACTATCTTCACTTTGAGGACCTTCCAACATTAACCCATTGTCGTTTGCAAACTGCAACAAAGAAATAGGATATGTAATAAAAGTAATGTATGGATAAATATTTATATCTATACATATAAAATTCTGAGTGGAATCTGTACATTATATATTTTTTGGTAAATTTTATTGAAATAGTCATTATTATCGATACAGAGGCCGAATCTATAGTTTTTAGAATTTTTGTCTGTCTGTCTGTGATCGCATCACAAGAAAACCACTGGACAGATTTTGATGAAATTTGGTACGATGATAGCTGGTTATCCGGGTTAACATATAGGATACTTTTTACTGCCGAAAAATATCTCATCTCTGAGAAATCTATAATAAACTTTAAAACGTATCTAGGGACGAACCCGAACAAAGCGAGGGTGCGTCGCTACTTATATATAAATATTAAGTAATATTAATGCGTGCCATCATTTTTCTTTATGTAATTTATTTTAACTTAGTACATAAATAAATTAGTTTTTCCTTAATAATAATAAGCAGATAAAGGAAGATGTAAGAAGTTATAAGAATTTTCGTGATTAAACTGACTTCGATGGCTTCGGTCATATAGTAAGCGGGGTGTAGAAAATTTCTGCGTACAGAAAGAAAATGGACCCCACAACAATAGTTATTAATTATTTTATAAGTTTGTCTATATTGTGTCTGTTTGACTAAATTTAATGTAGTGGTAACTTAACACTCGGGTCAACATTAAGATATTTTTACTACAGGAAAATCTTTCATTCCCACGGGAAAAAAATCTCCCGCGGTAAAAAGTAGCCATGTCACTCTCCAGCCTTCCAACTGTCTCCACACAATAAAATCAAGCCAATCCGTCACTCTGTTTCGACGTGAAATAAAAACAAACAATCAAACACACTTGCACATTTATATTATTAGCATAGCATAGATTAAGTAGAAAGTTACTCTGGTCTCTGCGTGTAATTTTACCTAGTATTTTCTTATTTAAATAATACTTTACAAAACTCAGTATCTACTCTAAAGACTAAATCGCATAAAACTTTGTTAATACTGCTAAGTATAATATGTCGTAAAGATATTTTTAACAACCTGGCGTAATATTTGTTACAATGTAACTTATCATGTAGTTGCTGTTTAGTATTCTGCTATAAAATACAACTATACAGTACTGAGATCAAGGTTGTACTTGATCAACAAGTTTCGTAGTAATGCGAAGACATATACATACATTAATATATACAAATAAATAAAATTGAATTGTCTGTTTTTTTCTTGTTTGAATTGTTGAATTTTTTGTCTGTCTGTTCCGGTTAATCTCTGAAACGGCTGGACTGATTTTGACGGGACATTCACTCGCAGATAGCTCATATTATAAAGAGTAACTTAGGCTATTTTTCTTTTAGAAAAATAATTAGGGATCCGCGCAAAAATGAAATTGTGAACTAAATCTGCGTACGTGAAGACGCATCCGACCAAAGCGCAAAAAAGGAAACTATTTTTTTCGGATTTTTTCGAGATTTTATTTTAGTTTTTTGTTCTCAATATTTCGAATACTTTAAAGCAAACATGTTCACGGAAAAATATGAATGAATTATTAAATGCTTATTTTGGAATATAATGTGTCCAACATACATGAGACACTTCAAACTTTATTTTATTTTGGAAGTTACTTACATCATTAAAGTCCAGCTCCACTTCTATATTCTCAACTTTTATACTAACTTCTGGATCTAAGACCTGCTTAGGTTCTTCTACTTCTACCGCTGGATCGAATACAGTAGTAATTGGCAAAGATACTTTTTCTTCTATATCTTTAAAAGGGTCTTCTTGTTTTTTCTTTTTTTTCTTCTTTTTTGCTTTTATTTCATAGGTCATTGGCTCATCTGGTAAGAATGATGTTGGGTCCTTTCTATTTTCATCGTCTTTTTCAGTTTTAATATCTTCTATCTCTATCTTCTCTTCTTTTAGTGACATTTTTAATAATTATGCTAACCTGTAATGAAAAGTTTAAAGGTTGTTTATTTTTTTGTTATTTTTAGACCACTCTTGGTTTTATTTTTTATTTTTAGAATACAGATTTTTATACCGGTTACTATTACATGCATTATTATTAACTAAATTGACTAGCAAATAAGTTATTTTTGGCTACACTAAATATTTAAGTGACCTGTGTGAAATCTGCAGTACAGATATATTTTAAAGATTAAAAAGATAAATGGAATATCACACAATACATAAAAATGCTTAAAGACATTAAAGTCAGTAAATAAAATATTTAATATAATCATGCCTTGCCATATGGCCTGTACAGCCATTTTTTTGTATTTAATAAGTATGTATTACTTGCTGAAACTTTATTTAACATAAGTTTTAAAGCGGATAAATAAAACATTCAGCTTTAAAATTGAAGTTACTAAAAAACCTTATACAATATGTTTTATATGAAATTTTAAATTTTTAGAATATCTAAATAGTTTAAAATATTATTAATTTAATTTTGTATAATTTTATATTATTTGTAATAGAAGTATACATTTTATATTATGCTATTCTCTTATTTGCTTACTTGGACAATGTATTTTGATACATTTGTTCGAGTAACAACAAATTAAATAAGATTATTTGTGGATTTTACCAGAGTAATTCAATTTTATAATTTATAATGATTTTATGACTGAAATGAGCAACACCTCTGCTTAGAAGTGCACCAAAAAAAAAAGGATAATATATCTATACTAATATTATAAAGAGGTAAAGTTTGTGACGTTGTGCAAGTGGGTGACCTCTCGGTCTATTGAACCGATTTAGATACATATTTGGTAAGGACATAGGATACTTTTTATCTCAGAAACCATCCCTTAACGAGGTGAAAATGGGGATGAAAGTTTGTATTGGGAAGCAAGCTAGGGTATAGCTAGTATAATTATAAAAGAATATACATATGTGCATGTAATCAAAAAATATTAAAATATGTTATTTGAAATTGTATTTTTTTTCCATCAATAGATTTCATTATGAAAAAAGTAGGTATTACAGAACATAATGCTCATGAATAAACTACAAAACTATAATATATATTTAAAAATATTACAAATAAAACAATTGTAGCATTATAAAAAAATCATATTGCCTATAAAAAATTGAGTTCATATTACAGTTTTTGCATTGATGTGATCAAAGGTCACATTTTTAAAGATAATACAGGGCTATACGTAAATTTTAAACATGAAGTGTAGGTTTTATTATTTTTTGATTGATATACTTTATGTCATATATATACATTTATTATATTTATTTAATACTAAAGCTAACAGTAAAATCTTACTAGACACTTTTAATAGGTTCTGTACTAGATTCTACTTATATACTAAATATAAACACTATGTTACAGTGGAGTGAATTGATAAGTGATAGTGTTACAGAAAAGTAATTCAACAGTAATACTCTAAGATAAGATAAATAGAGACAACAGAATTTATATTATTTATATAGCAAAGCGTGGATTTATGGTGGTTATAAAATTGGTTATACATTTGTGACATAATAATAAAGAACTTTATTACTAAACATTTTTTGATGTTAAATTTAAAATGAGAATATCAAAGCAAAAATTCTTCTCTTTGGTGATATTGCGAAATACACGTCATTAGATCGTAAAACTTACCTTATTTCTATAATAAAATTCTATCACCAAAATTCACAACATAAGATACTATGGCCGTATTCAACATTTATAATAAAATCTTAAACTAAATTCATATTTATTAAATATTATTCGTCTACAACGCCTTTGTGGCAAAAATCAATATCTATATTTTTTAAAATCATTATGAAAAATGGGCAATATGGATGTGATTATTGACGTTTTTCAAGAATGTGTATGACGTTTAATAAGGTGTTGCTGTCAATATTTTTAATAAAAATTATTATTTAAAAAATAAAAATTACTTATTTAATAAAATATTTTTTAAAATAAAATCAAACAATATATATTTTAAAAAACATTTAATTATATTATAAATATTTTTTATTTAATATATTTAATTATTTTAATTTGACTTATGTGACAGTAGATGTCATAACATGTCAAAATGATTTGATTCTAAATAGCGCTAATAAATAACCTATAAACAAATATTTGCTTAGTCTTCTTTCCCTCTTTATCAATATTAAAAATTAAAATGTTATTTGAATTTTGAAGTTTATAAGTTCATAATGTTGCGAACAATAAAGATACTTCGTATAAGACAAGCTTTGAAATCAGTACCACTAATATCTTCAGTTCAGAAAAAATGGTTCAATGTAACTGCAGGTAAATTAAAGTTCTTAAAATATTATTATTGATAAATTGACTAAATAAAATTAATTAAAATGTGGTTCACGCTAGGTTTAAAACATGGCGAATATGAGTGGCAGGAACCAAAGTCTGAGGCAGAAGTGTAAGTTACTCATTTTGTATGCAGCATTTTACATTAATTATTATTAGCATTGAATGTAAAATATTTTTTATAGTTTAAGCAATAGCAGCAGTGTTAGATACATTACTTTTTGAAAGATAATAAGGAAATTTAAAAAATATTTCAGGGTAAATATAACATATATTGACAAAGATGGCAAAAAGACAAATGTAAGAGGCAAAATAGGTGATAACGTTTTATACTTAGCTCATAGATATGGTGTTGAAATGGAAGGTAAAATTTAATTGCATCATTTATATATACACTCCGTACTACTACTACACACTACTCTCATGTTTCATTGTTTTTTTTTTCAGGAGCTTGTGAAGCTTCCTTGGCATGTACAACTTGTCATGTATATGTAAATGAGGACTATCTGGATAAACTAAATGATCCAGAGGAAAAAGAGGATGATTTGTTAGATATGGCACCATTTTTAAAACAAAATTCTAGATTAGGTAGGTTGTTGTTTGAATAAAAAAAACTATTATAAACTTCAAAAACTTCAATATTAGCTTTTTACTTATTAAGTTCTTCAATGCAATCATTTTTCTATACTAATATCATAGAGGTAAAGTTTGTGAGTTTGTGACATTGTAAGGGGTAATCTCTGGATTTACTGAACCAATTTTACTATTTATCCCAGAAATCATCCCATATAGGTATGAAAGTTTATATGGGAAATTAAGCTAGGGACTAACACAAGCTAAGTAAGAGTGAGTCGCTAGAATATTATACATTTATTGGAACTTTGTATGATTTCATTGAACTATATTAGTTAAAATGGTTTCAATTGAATAATTTCTTGCACTATTTCTTTTAATACTGCATACATTTTTTTTTACAAATTTTTGTGAAAATCATTTCAGGTTGCCAAATTATACTAACAAAAGAAATGGAGGGCATGGAGCTGTCTTTACCAAAAGCTACTCGCAATTTTTATGTTGATGGTCATAAGCCTGCACCACATTAATTCCAATTTCAAAGAAAGAGTTTTTAGTTTAGATTGAAAATTATGTCATTATATTATAAAGTGGTACAATATCCATTTTATTTTAATACACTCTTCCAAGTATAATTTCAAACGTTTTTCTTAGCTGATTTCTCAAATGTTGTACATATTAGACATGTATATATTGATTTATTCTATATATATATGTAAAAAGTAGTAGAAATAAAATTATTATGTTTTATTATCCTTTATTATTTGTAATAATATTACATCAATACACATTCTATAATAGCATCCCTTGGTATATATTACACAGTCATATGAGATCAGTAATAATAAGCAGTAAAAATAATTAATAAATATTTCATTACATATTAAGATCTTTAAAGACTAGATGTGTTGCGAATAGCCATAATAAATTAAGTAAATTTTTTAATTTTTATATTAAAGCTTTACAATAATGACCACAGTTACTTTACTCTTGTACAATTCCTTTCATGGCTGTCCGAATGTTTTTTCAAAGAATGTTTATAAACTGTTTTGTAATTGCATTTGTCACAAAATAGCATATTTTTCTCTGGGAAATGTTTTAATTTGTGACCTCTTAATGCGGCCTTAGAACCACAGCGATAATCACAATTCATAAAATCACATGCAAAAGACTTATTTTTTGTATGAATATACTCGTGTATGGTTAAATTTGATGTAGAATTTGTTTTATAGTCACAATAGTGACAAGACAGTAGCTTTTTTTCATCATGAGTATTACAATGTTGCTTATAATGAGATCTCTTCATAGTTCTATAACCACAAATTTCACATATAAATGCTGATAAATTTGCATCCTTGTTATGTTTTATATACATATGTTCTGATAACTCGATACTATCATTGAAAGTTGCATCACAATCTGTACATGATGACTTAATAACTTCAATTTTATGTTTTACATTGACATGAGTTTTTAAATCTGATAACAAAATAAAAGTTTTCTTGCAAATTCGACAAACATGTTTACTGTTCCTTTTGAAATGTAAAATAGATTTTTTTAACTCTGCGTAATCTTTGGAATGTTTTCTTTTTATATGAATTCTTAATGTTTCCATTGTAGAATATTTTAAATCACAGAATTTACATAATAGTCTTCCATCGTTATCAATTGACTGGTGCCAACATGGCATATTTGAAACAGTATTCTAAAAAAAAACAAGCAAGCATTAGAAAATTTTCAAAATTGAATAGATGCTCTAAATAAAGAACTAGATACATACCAAATCATTATCATTTCTTTCGTAGGTAGTGTTTATTTCATTTTCTTCTTTTGTATCAAATATAACTTTATTATCATCCAAATTCAGAAGCTGAAAGCAATATATATTTATAACTTTTAAAAATTCACATGTTTCATTATTTTATAAAAATGACGCTACAGGACTAAGCGTGCCACCAGCTGTGGTCACTGGTCACGGGCAGACCTCTGCTCATGACCACCGCTGGTATAAACAAATGGAAACGTCGAGGACAAAGTACTTTGGCCACTTACGAATATATGCGTTTAGTTCTGAAGTGTCATTTTCATATTAACTATTTATTAATAGTGGTATTATATTAAGAAGCGAAAAACATTCTACGAGTATCAGATATTGTGTAGATACGAAATATAAATTAAAATATAATAAGAAAAAAAAAACAAAAAATATAAACATTTACAATAATATCGATTATACCGAAGATCTGCCATCGTTAATACTTAAAATATCACATAATTGATCTGTTTCATGTAATTCATAATATTCTATTTGAATTTCGGGCTCAGATTTATTTTCCATATTGCGAAGTGGTTACTAGTGGAAATTTAAAATACTACAAAAAATAAATAAAAGAATTAATAATAACAAAACACTAAACAGTCATAAAAAGTTCAATGCACGTTTAACGTTTTACGTTTTGTCCATAGATAAATTGCCACTTGCCAGTCAGTAAAATATGTATAGCGAAATAATTTTAGGTAAATGTTACGACTTACGTTACGCTTTTTTTTAATAATTTTAAATACTTATAAATAGAGAAAATATATTTTCATTATTTTATTAGAATTGTTGTATATTTTTATACAGCATTATTCTATTTAAAATTTATAACCCCTTTAAAAATTATTGGCAAATTGCATACATTTTTTTTAGAAATGGAGATAGACATACTTAAATAATATTAATTATTAAAAAAACATTTATTTTCAATATTATTAGACTTTGTTTTTGATGCCAATTTTTTTTTATCTATTATACAGTCAGTGACGTTAAGAAATATTGTCGATGGTAAAACACTTCGCGCCGCGTTGCCGTTCTCATTCATTCGAAGCTTGTTTAATCCATTCGTTCTTTCAGTCTGCTCGCAACCTCTGGAGAAGGAGGTATACTCGTTTTCGATCTTTGATAAACGCGTTTCGGTGTGATTTGTGTTTTTATTGTGGTGTACAATGGCTTACAACGGTGGTGGTGGTAAAAGACTGTGCACAGGAACTGATCTGGACGTTGAGAGGGTATGTTTTCAAATATCAAACATCAACATTTAAATGGACGAAAATGGCCGTGTTTTGTCCGAAACCGCTTTCATGTTTTGCCATATATGTACAGAATATGTTTATGTATTTACAGATAACAACGAATAATGTACAATTATACTAGCTGTATAATTTTAAGCGAGTTAGCATTTTGTGACGTCCATGCTATTTTGTTGATTTGTTAGTTTGAGGTTACAACATTGACATATGATAATGGATGGGTAATATAAAGACAAGCTGTTGCGGTATAGAGTTGTATTTAACGTTAGCATGTCGTCGGAAAGTACGAAAATAGCAGGATGCCAGACTGTCAATTATTGTGATTGACATACCTCGGTCATTAGGTCTGGCGTGGCGGGCGGGAAAAATCGTCTAAATTTGTGTACCCGTAACAATACTCTTTAATTTTCATTTTAAACCACTTCATTACATTTAATAAATTTACAAATGAAATCTATAAATAATAATGTTTGTGGAAAGAGAAATATGAAAGAGTACTCATCTTTTAATTAAATAACGTTCAACAAATAAATATAATTATCATACCTACACAGTTTAAACGTCTCGAACTAATATCAAGCAAGCAAGTGATTTCATTTGTTTACTTTGATAACGGAACTCGCCCATATGTTATAATATTAAATTATAATTGTTTTATTGTAACTTGAAGGCCACATAAGTCAATGTTAAAAGTAATCGTTTTAACTAAAGTTAAAATTGATGACGACACGTTTGGCTCAGTTTGTAGTGACCCTACTTGCCATGCCAGAGGTCGCGGGTTCGAGTCCCGCCGGGGGCATTCATTTGTGTGATGAGCACGAATGTTTGTACACCAGTCATGGGTGTTTATATTTATAAAATGTATGTATTTAAAGTTATATATGTATAGTGTATCAACTATCTGGTATCCATAACTCAAGCCTCGTAGCTTAGAACTGGATGCTTCTGTGTGTTAATGTCTTAACATATTTATTATTATTATTTATTATAATTAAAAAAACCATTATTGATGATTTACCATTTATGATATCTATTTTTGAAAATAATATTAAATATTTAGTAATAATAATAATTATAACTGTTACTACGTACGAATACGATACAACAATCAATTCCATTTCTGTTTGTCGACATGTCGAAGAATTTCATTATATTACATTAATAACTCATGACATTGAAATTGTTAGACACTAGCGAAAGAAAAGTAAAAACAAATTATCCCACGGGAACCGTATGAGCTATATTATTGTAAAGTTTCATTAAAATCTATTCAATAGTTTTTGCGTGAAGGTGTAACATCCTCTCAAACTTTCGCATTTATAATATAAGTAAGATAGTAGGGAAAAAGAAAGATATGAAACGAAAAGGATACTAAAAATAAAAATAAATTTTATCTATATAGTATAACATTATTATACATACACACATTATATGCTTTATTTTCTAAAATAATATTTATTGTAGGTACCACGTACGTTATCATCTTGATCGTAACTAGTTCACGCTTGTATGAATTGCTTTTTTACGATAAAATAAAGAGTAAAAAATATTTGTTTTTTTTTTTTTTTTTTTTTTTTTATTATGTAACGTTAGATTATTCCTAATTAAAATACATACATGTTTTGTGAAAATTTTCAATAGAGTTTTATCTATTACAGTTCAAAAGACAGCCTTTTGAAAAGACGGACGGAAAGACGGGGCGTTAGCTTAGTAATTCTGACTGGAGTTAGACCATCTAGAAACGAAACCCGGAAATTAAATATGGATGTATAATATATATATTACGTAGTAAAATTCTATTTTTACGATGTCGTCGGATATTTTTCATTAAAGTGAGACACTTATGTACGGTTTTTTTATAGCAAAAGTTAGTTTTAAGGAATTTTATATATTCGGAGAGTTTTAAAGATTAAATAGAAAATTAATTAAGAAAATTAGGCGAAACTAATTTGTTTTTTTTTTATTCTAAGGTAGGTATGTGTATTTCTTGTAAAGCGTAATATGTAAAATCATATTAGATCTTTCGTAATTATTTACTACGAAAATTGTCTTCATAGGTTTTTAATGTAATCAAGAGGTAGAGTTTGTTTGTTTGTTTGAGCGCGCTAATCTCTGGAACTACTAATACGATTTGAAAAATTCTTTTTGCATTACATAACTCATTTATTGAGGAAGTCTATATGCTATAATCTAATAATATCATATAATAGTAACCTATAAAATGTACCAAGGGATGAACCCGAGCGAAGCGAGGATGAAAGTTTTCTATATAAAATTAGTAGTAAGAATCAAAAAAATGTTACATTTTAAATAGGTATAACATTTATATCGATAAATTCTAAGTATAGCCGCGGGAAGTAGATAATCTGGAATAACCTGTTCAATCATACAAGAGAGTAGAGACAGATATAAATGAATTAATAATTTTGCATTTATAAGCTCAATTGTAGATCAAAGAGCCACATTCTATTATTAATTGCTTTGAAATCAAGAATGGCATATATTGAGATGAGCTTTCGAGCTTTTAATATTGTAATTATTAATTTTATTTCGTTTGTTCGTTGTAAGTCAGTGGCTGGATCGATTGCAGTAATTCTGTTAATTTTGCTTGTATGCAGCCCTTTTTTTAACGTCCCAAGGGGAGGTGGGCTTCCCTTCAATATAAGGGGGATCAGGCCATAGTCCACTACGCTGGCTTTGTGCGGGTTCGCGGACGTAACACATGTGTTTCGAAATTAACTATCCTTGAACATATTAAGTACATAAAATATTTTTTCTTATTAGTGTATGGTCTATAATAATCAATATTATATCGGAGGAGGCCTCATAAAATATTTATTCCAGAAAAATAATAAGGTTCTTGCGAAATAGTGCTTGAAACGCTTATTCGTATTATGAATGCGAAAGTGTTTGTTATTTCGTCCTACTTTTTAAAAGTTAGTGTCTTTATATATATTTAATATCTAGAATTTAGGTAGGTATTTTATTTTAGATATTATTCATATTGTAGTCCATACTTTACCCATTACAGACATTTTGTTGGGGATTTATAGCAACTATTACCATATTTAGACGATTCGGTAGACCAAACTTAAAGCTGCATCTCGGCATTATCTACCGTAATACACGTATTTATCTGCTCATATGATTTTGTAGATAACTAACGTACTTGATTATTTTTATATTATTTTTTGATGAAGAGTAGGCAAAGATAGCTTTAATTAAACATTAATAATTCAATTCAATTGTTTATTTAATGGCTTCAATGTCTCCAATATCTTAATGGCAATTAGTTCATGGTTAAAAATATATATTATACATGTTTAATTGAACAATAAATTCGAAGTGAAGTTGTTTTAACGATCTCCCAAAATATTTTACCTACTCTACATTTACCCGTTACCCTGCTGTACGTTTACCCTTATTGTTTAATTTATTAATATTTATACGGTGAAGGAAAACGTTACGAGGAAACGTGCATGTCTGAGAGAATTTAGCTTTGCGAAAGACGTTTGAATGGTGTAGTCCGTCAACCCGCACTTGGCCAGCGTGGTCGACTATGGCCTGATCCCCCTCGTATTGAAGGGAGGCCTGTGCCCAACATTCATATGTTAAATAGGGCTGACTGAGTTTAGCTTATTATTAACTTAGTTATGGTAATACCTAACATTTACCCTTTAAGAGAATCGAACCTGTAACTTTTCATATTAAACCGTGTCATTTAGAAGCGTGTCAATGTGCTTAACGATCATTCTTGATTTTAATATACGATAAAACGATCTACTTAGATCTAGGTTAATAAAGGTTGAGTTTAAAATTGATGCTTTCGTACATTATCGATAAGATAAATGATTTTAAGTTTTAAGTTTAATACTTTTTTCTTTTTAAGGGAATCTCTTTTACAAGTAGTTATACAAGTTTAACAGGAAAATAAAAAAAAATTATCTCCAATATTAATTTTGAATTATAAATTAATATTAAAAAATAAGTAACATTCATATTTTATTTTAAAAGGTTTTAACGGTTAGTGTGGAATAGATAGGCTATATTTTATTACTGCTCCGCTCCCTTGATTAGTAGCATAATTATAATATACTAGCATTGCCCGCGGCTCCGCCCGCGTTGAGATTACAAAAATCAAATTCTTAGGTTTTACATATTAGTATACTCTTACATTGCAGTTTTTGTATTTTTTCTCAGAAATGAGATATTTTCCCGCGGTAAAAAGTATCCTATATGTTGACCCGGATAACCAGCTATCATCATACCAAATTTCATCAAAATCCCTCCAGTGGGTTTTCTGTGATGCGGTAACAGACAGACAGACAGACAAAAATTCTAAAAACTATAGATTCGGCCTCTGTATCGATAATAATGTTTATTTCTATAAGATTTTCCAAATAAATATTTAATGTACAGATTCGGCTTTGTTACAATTTTATTATATGTATAGTCTAAAGATGTATAGATTAAACATTAATAAAAGAAAACAGTATTTAGGCGCTTCTTTTTTTCCCCTTTAATACTTTTATATCCCATTAACGTCAGTTGTATTCAGAAGTATGTGTTGTTTTAGAAATGAGAGCACGTGACTTCATTATTAGACTCAATTAGTGGTCTGTGTCGGTGGTTTTGTTCTAGAAATTCTATGTGGACGTAAATACTTACACACGCTTGTGTTGGCTCGAATATCTTAAATATTTTGTGTTTCTAGTTGTATCTTTTTAAATTTCTTCACGGATACATTTTGATTTTTTGGTTCCCGACATTTCGAATGCTTTACAGCAATCGTGTTGTTTTGGTTAATTACTTATTAAGGATACTTAAATTTATTAAAATATTAATTTTTCGTTAATGTTACATGCTGTGCTAGTTGTAGCATTTTTTTTTAAACTGTTTTTCAAATTATAGTGGTAAGTGCTACGGTGTTATAAAGTTTTTTAAGTGATTTACTTAATTAAGTTACATTAACCGATGTTTATAATTCCTTTATAATAATTGGGTCAAGGCTGGTCTCGTATAAATAAAAAAATCTTATATATGGTAAAATGGTTTTTTAAGTGATTTTAGAGTCGGGAGTATTATTATTTTTTTTGTTAAAACATTTTAAATAAAACTATCTTTCCGGATTTTTTCCGATGCGACGTTTCGAATGATTTAGGAGAATCAAAAATCAAAATAAATCCGTGAAAAAATCCGAAAAGATAGTTTTATTTAAGTAAAATGTTCATTATTCGCGTAAATCTAAGAAAGTATTATGTTAAAAACATTTTAACAATACTCCGTAAGTAATGTTGATTACAATAAAAATATAAATTAATCGCATTTAAAATTATCTACTTGACCTGATCAGAGAAATGAATTGTGTATTAGATAACATCTGTTAAGTAAAATTTGAAGCAATAAATCTGCAGAACATGCAAATGAAAATAACTCAAACTGAAGTCAATCGAAAGCTCTATTAAAACTCCCCTTTGTGTATTTTACAATAATGGTGTCGTGTAAAGAACGGTTCGGAATGTCGATAAATGTACCGATAGTGAACTTTAAATACCGATATTTTAATATGAATGAAGCTGTTTTTCTTGTACGTCGTTTTCTTCTCATAAATAAAATCCAATTATCTTTTACTATATAACATATCTCTAAGATCATTCATAACATAACATCAATAGCTCATTTCTCATATAATTACCACTTGTCTTATGGTGAAGTGAAAACACCGTGAGGAAGAAATCTGCATGTTAGAGAACCTAGCAAGTTTTCGAAAGGCATGTGCAGTCCGCTAACCCGCACTTGGCCAGCGCGGTGGACTATGGCCTGATCCACCTCGTATTGAAGGGAGGCCCACGCCCAGCAGTGGGACGTTAAAAAGGGCTGAATACAAATACAACGTATCGTATCGTTCTATCAATAGTTTCGTTGGTTCGTTATTTGGCCTTCATATACTACGTACAAATTCATAAAACATAGGATTGAATCGTCATAAATGTTTTTCAACACATCTTTTTATAAAAAGGCAACACGAGTAAATTTAAATAATTTCATTAATATTTTTATCAATTACACACTGGCTTGTTCCTTTATTCACTTCAGTTTTGCGATGACTTATATAAAGCTTTTTCGATAATCTGTATGGTACAAAATCTGAACTCGGGTGAAGTGTAAAGAATGCTATATATGTTTTATATGTACATATATTATAAACATGCAATGAACCTGAAGAGATTTCCCATAGGTAACACAAAACATAAAATATTCAAAATGAAGAACTTCCATACAAACTTTCACCCCCTATTTAACTCCTAAGTAATGATTTATTATACATTTTATACCTTATATAAATTTAGTGTTAACTGATAAGAAAAACTAGCGATGAAAAATATAGATATCATAGCAGCTCTTTATTTAACTATGTATGTGTGTGTGTGTATGATGAAGTATCATCATAATATAATAAATTTCTTATATAAAATAATACAATAACATCCAAATTTTCATATCTATAAATAAATTCATATATTAAAAATAAAGATAACTCTTGGACTTCTCAAAACTTCAATCACAAGTAGAAAAAGCGTGTCATCCGTCATTGAATGACTCACGCGCACGTTGGGCCAAGGGGGCGTGGTCACGAACGCGCCAAGTTTTACGGCGACTCTATTGGATGGTTTGGATAGAAACATTATTATAGTGACAATGAATATGAGGAATGCTATTTGTTTTGATCTTGCTCTAGCTCGCGATTTCGCTTGCGTTAATTATGATTTTAGATAGCCTCTGACCGGCCTCGATAGAAAATAAGGAAATATTGGTATTTTTTAAATATCTAGCAGTTTTAGGTATAAGCGTTTAATGAAATAGAAAAACAATCTCAAGCTTTATTATACATTGTTTATGTATATATATACAGGGTGTCCCAGAACGTAACGGTAACCTAGTGCCATTACTTACTATCTCTTTCTAACGATAAAAACGTCCCTACAACTTATTGTACTCAAACGACTGCATATATTTCTCTCATCCATTTCTATAGCAAAATTCATCAAAATTGGTTCAACGGTTTAGGTTTGAAAACGTAACCGACAGTCACTTTCGCATTTATAATATTAGTAGATACGGATGTTAGACGCCTGTATGTGCGCATACTTTACTCGTCCTCCAAGTATCTTTTATCGACTCAGCACTATGTGACCTAGTGAGGGCTGTTAAGTTTACCTTGTGCGTTATTTAAGCTACATCCATGCTAATACTATAAATGTGAAAGTGTGTTTGTTTGTCCTTCTTTCACGTCGAAACGGAGTAACGGATTCGCGTAATTTTTGTGTGGAGATAGTTGGAGGACTTTTTATCGTTGGAGATTACTTAATTCCCAAGGGAAAACACGTTATAATACAATCCAAAAAAATATTTATTATCAGAATTGTTTGAAACTTGGTATATATGATCTGCCTCGGTGGTGTAGTGGCTAGCATGTACGGCTGCACACTCGGAGGTCCTGGGTTCGAGTCCCGGGTCGGGCCAAGTTTAGTTATTGAGTCTTTCTGTATAGTAAGCCTCAGTAACAGCCCGGAGTTGGGAAGTTGGCGGTGTTTCACCCCCGTGCCTCTGAGAGCACGTAAAGCCGTCGGTCCTGCGCCTTAACTCTCACTGGTCGTGTCGAGCAGTCGTCCCACCGGAGTAATGAGAGTAACAGGAATAGAGAGTGCACGTTGTGTCTGCGCGTACACTTGTGCACTATAATATCTCCTGCGCAGTTGGCTAGTCTCAATGAGATTGGCCGCCGTGGCCGGAATCGGCTAGGAGAACATCATATATGATCTTTAATAAAATTGAATAAATACGTGTCTTAGCATTTTTCAAAATTCGTCCTATAAGGGGATAAAAGGGATGAAAGTTTGTATGAAACTACATTTTTAGAGATTTTTTGTAGTTTCAGCGCGAGCAAAGCCGCGGGTTCTGCTAGTATATTAATAGTATGTATAAATAATTTCCGGTCAAAACTTTTAAACTAAAATCTGAAGCGTATAACTCTTGGTACTTGACCGAAATTCAAATTAATCTTTGATGTTTCATTACAACATTTTGCAAGAATTTACACCTACACGTTATTTACTACATCTATTAGTTACTACAATTCATTATTATTTATAGTATAAGCGTATCTATTTGTGTACGTCCATGCGTTACTATTGATACGTATTTACTTTGTATCCATATACTAATATTATAAATGAGAAAGTGTGTTTGTTTGTTTGTCTTTCTTCCACGTCGAAACGGATTGACGGATTGGCTTGATTTTTGTGTGGATATATATCGAGGGCTGGAGAGTGACATAGGCTACTTTTTACCTCAGGAGATATTATCATTTCCGTTACGATAGATATTATCAGTTCCGTTACGTTACAATACAACCCAAAAAAATATTTATGATCAGAATTAAGTACTTGGAACTTGGTATTAATGTTCTTCAATACAATTAAATAAATATTACTTTTTTTGTTACTAGCGACTCAACTCGCTTAGCTTTGGGCTTGTCCCTAGATAAAACAAATCTATCCCACGGGAACCTTAAATTTTTCCGGGATAAAAAGTAACCTATACTATTCCAGACTATACCTAATCTTATCTCTGTGCCAAATTTTATCCCGATTCGTTATGGCGTGAAAGAGTAACAAACATCCACCCATCCCCACAACTTTTACATTTATAATATTAATATAGATTTATTGATTGTATTAGTATCGATAGAAATCGATTTATATGTGCAAGCTCTGTTTATATTTGTTTTATAGATATTATGGCAGTCGATAGGGCTAATATCCTAATAAATATGCAAAAACTCGTCTGTTGACTTAAAATGCAATAATATGTAATAATTTTTAAATAATTATTAATCATACTATATAGCGATCATTAAAGAACGTAAATTAAATGTTAATTATTATCTAACAGCCCACCTTTATTGTCTTGCTTTACCGGAAGCATCTGATGCAACTAAGTGTATTTACGTCAATCCACTGCCATATAAAAGGATCTTCTACGTCCTAATTATCATAAGCCATATTCCAGTAGGTGAAGTTTTAAACCGAAGTTTCTTAAGTAACTTTAAAGCTTAAAGCATTATTGGTTTGGTTTCACTAGATATATTTTTAATTGACTTGTGAAAAAGGAGGAGGTTCTATGTTCGTCTGTATGTGTGTTTTTGTTTTGTAATTATATTTTTAGAAACTAGAAGTTAAACGGCAATTAAGAACATATTTGATTTAAATGAAACTTAATTCAACTATTATCGTAAGTGAATCCGTATTATTTAATATTATAAATGTGAAAGTTTGTGAGTAAGGATGTTTGTTACTCTTTCACGCCAGAACGGCTGAACGGATCTGGATAAAATTTGGCACAGAGATAGATAGTCTGGAATAACACATAGGCGAAAAAATGTACGGTTCCCGTGGTTAGGTTATAGGTTTGTTTTTGTTTTCCTAGTAGCTTTTATAAATGTAAATATGAATTATGTGGGCTTTTGATGTAGCAATTTTGGTAAGTGGGTTTGTAGATAAAGTAATATGTATATATTCTTTTTAATTGGAAGGATGATTCAAATTAAATCAGATGAAATCAAGTAAATTATAAAAATCTAAAGTAAAATTTAAAACTATCTTAAAAAGCTCCGAATGGTTATCGTATTTTCGTTTGGAATACATAATAAATTAAAAATTTAAGAAAGCCCCCACCACATTGGACCGATATTTATCAAACGTAGCTAAGAACACTCCCGACTAATTCACCTTTCAAACAAAAGCAAACAAAATCAAAATCGGTTCTTCCGTTAGGGAGCTACGATCCCACAGACAGACACACACACACATACACGTCAACCTTATAGCACCCCGTTGTTTTTGCGTCGGGGGTTAAAAGAAGCTAAAGACGATAGTAAACTACATTAGTTTAAACTGTCTCGCAGTAAATAAGTAATACAAAAAATTGCGTATTAACATGGAATAAAGAATTAAGATTATGTAATTCCATAATATGTTTGTGTTGTGTTTAAAAATTCCATTTATTGTGGCTAATAGTTATTTCATGGAGTACGGAGTATTGGACTGAGGTGATATTTTTCACTTATAAATTACTAGCAGGACCCGCAGCTCCGCTCGCGCTTAAACTAAAATGTAAAAATATATATATAAATAAGTAATGTAAAAACTCTAAAAATGTAGTTTCGTACAAACTATCATCTTCTATTTTACCCCTTTATAGGACGAATTTCGAAAAATGCTAAAACACGTATTTATTTAATTTTATTGTAGGACATTAATACCAAGTTTAAAGTAATTCTGATCAAAAAAATTTTTTTGGATTGTATTATAAAGTTTTTTCCCGTGGGACGTTAGGTAGACTTCCGCGGTAAAACGTAGCTTATGTCAATCTCCAGCCCTCCAACTATCTCCACACAAGATATCACGCCCATCCGTCACTCCGTATCGAAGTGAAAGAAAGACAAACAAACAAACAAACAAACAAACAAACAAACACACTTTCACATTTATAATATTAAGTATGAATAATTATGTTAAATTAAATAGTTCCATGTGACAATATTTATATATATATATATATATATATATAAAAAAATTTTTGGGAATCGCCAAACGAAATCGGGGACGTGAAACTAGTTTAGAAGCATGTAATCTATAACCCGCCAATTAATCTAACAATAATGCTATCTAATAAGTTATATGTATATGATATATTCTAAACTAAAGCAAATCGTTTTGTTACATTGCCAGTGCTAACAAATAATAATAATAAACATACGGTCTTTCAAGCGTATCTCGAAAATTGACCATAAATTCGCTAACACCATAACAAACTGGCATAACACGAAATGCCAAGAAATATTCAGAATCCATTTAACTAATAGGTACAGATTTAGGTTACCAATATAGAATGTTTTAATAAAATATTTGTGGGTGTTATCAATATTTATCTTCGAGTTTTATCGATGTTTAATGTACTTTTAAGACATTAGGCTCGTAATCCTCTTGTAATATTCATGTAAATTATAATGAAATTTGATAAGTTTAGATAAGTTTGTTATCATTATCTCCAAAATATTAAAGTACAAGAGATTAGCGGAATGTAATGATTTATTTTTTGTTTTTTATTATAACTTTTAGTCGAAGGCCAAAGATTTTTGGGATAGGACTCTTTATATTTAAAAAAAAAAGTGTGTGTGTTCCTACTTATGTACGCACGTAAGAAGTTATACTTCTTTGGCGTAACAGAATAAAGATAGCTAAAGATTTCATCCCGTATGTCACAACTCTCTGTTTGTCAAAGGAATGCAGCTAACTTCATCATGTCGCTTTTTGGCTGTCGATGTGCGCGCGCATCGTAAAAATTTTACTCGCATATTTTTTTACAAACGTGCCAAAAGAAGTTTAACTTTAATAAGGTCAAAATATTGATAGATTTTATATTTAAACTTTTTTAATATTCAGACCAACATAAACATAATGGGTATCAAATATATTAAGAGATCAAGCTATTATGTTACGATAAAGTAAAAAAGTTTTCCTTTAAGGTACACATATTAATATTCTAAAAACGACATAACGAAAAAGTTACATAAACAGACTTAAGTCGAATCGAGTTGTTGTTATTAGATTATGCAAAGCAG